CTTGTGTAAGTAGAACGGTTTTTAACCAATATTTAATATGAAATGCGCATTCACAAGTTCTTTATAACTCTTTTTAAAGTTATCGTTTCACAGATTTAATATGAATAGCCACTCAAGTTGTTTCCACAAAAAAGAGATATAGTACTTTTATAGATTATTATTTATTTTTTTTACTAAAAACGTAAATATTTCATATAATGAAAAAGTTCAGGTTTACAAAGTTAATTATAAACCTAGATTTATGATCCCATGGCAAAAAAGATAAAAACATGGAACCATATTACACAATAGTTTTCAGTCCTTCGTATTCGACACAAGCACAAAGGCTAATGGATTTCGACGAAGTGATGACGATGATTATTGTTCCTCTTAAAACTGGAGTTCGAGATGAAGGAGCGAAAATACCGATAGCTCGAGAAAGGCAAAAACCCAATGCTCTAGAAGCTTTCCGCGGAAGTCCAAAGATGAGTCGTCAACGGCTACGAACACTCGTCCGCGTTCACAAACTCCCCTCGCATCTTGTGAGTTCGACTCGAGTCACGCCTCCATGAGCTGATACAAATAAGAAACTTCCCTGACCAAGTAGGAACCCAATGCAAGCTCACCCTACCTCGCACACCGGCGCAGTCTAGTACAGAGTTAAATACAATCAAGACAACACAACAAAGAGAACCACCTGATCTTACTAACTCCTCTAGATCACCTAGCTACCCCAACCAAACCTAATCGGCAAAGCTCACAACACTACAAAACCGAGACCTCAAGAAGACACAACAAACATCAGACCAAGACCCAACCAAAACAGCACGATATAAAGAGATGCAAACCCAAGGATCCGCTAACAGCCACCACCGATGGCATGATGAGTCCAACGCTGCAATACCAAAAAGACCGGTTATCAGATCGAAGAACCTACAAAAGCGGAAGCCTCACACCCAAGACGCCACCACGGCCACTCTCTAGAGGAAAAAGATGATGTCTTCATCAGAAGAACCTAAAGAGAGACGACCATGAACTCGGACCAGAACCACAAGCAAAGGACCTACGAATCAAACCAACCAGACAACACGGTCCTGAACCTAAAACTAAAATGGACATGACGAAGGGAGCAGGCTCCAGAAGCCTAAGACGGAGCGACACCATCACCTGGGCGAACAAGTCGAGTCGCCTAAACCACTGAAAATCTCAATCCGCGATCCATAGAAGAGAACAACGGTCTTCAGGTGCCAAACATGGGCCAAGTTCGTCAGGATCCACCACCGCCTTAAGCGGAAGAAACTTAAGAGACAAAGCCAAGACCGCCAGATGAAGACCGAAGCACGACGGGATCTCCCAGCAAAGCTGAGGAGTTACGAAACCGAGAAGATGGGAAGACCGTTCCACAGTAGCAGACGTCGCTCCACTGGCAAAAATAGCCATCGCCGTCGCCGAAATAGTGAGGGAGGAGAGAGATCTACGGATAGATCTACGACGGCCGAAAGAGCGTGAGGCGAGAGAAAGGGCCTAGCTGCTCCCCGCAGAAGCCGAGAGCCATCGGCAAGCAACCCAGCACAGCGGAGAGAACCCTATCCTCCAAGACGCGGCCGTCACGCGAACCAAATCTCAACCCCTCGCCGTGAAGAACAGAACCGATCGAGCCGATCTAGTGTGAGTCAAGTGTCAAGGAACCGGGATTGAGCAAGACGGAGGTGGCCCTCTCACGGCACCGGACAAAGCCGACACCGAAGAGGCAAGCGATGAAAACGGAGAGAAAAAAGTTCGGCGGAGATCGCGAGGAAAAATCGCCGCGCGTGATAAGCCACGCGCCCGATTTTCTGTGTACTGATGTTCTTTTATAGATTATTGTTTCACAGCGATGTGTAGTTCTGTATTTCTGTCACAACGGGAACGATTTAAGTGA